AGGCATTGTATAAGCTAGGGCTCTAGGTTTAGTACGTGTATTGATATACACGTGTACACGTAGCCCGTACCTTAAATGATTGATCAAAGTATATTTCTTMTATACTGGTCCATTTGGCAGTGTATATCACAAAAAAGCATTTTTTTTCTTTTAGTTGCGTGTAATTGTCCCATTATTTGGTAGTAATATAATACGTGATCTTTTTTTAATTTAATTGTTTGTCCTTCAACTTTGCAATATTGTAGCTAAAAATAAAATCAAAAGCAAAATTACGTTCACACTTCACACAACATAATGTTACAAAAGCTAAAGATCTTCAAATCTAACGAAATTTAACTGTTTACCTTATTAAACTAAAGACAAATTTAAGGTACTTAGACACTAAGTAATAATCTATAAAATATCGCAAGAWAAATATAATCGCGAAACCAATATATTGCATGACAAAAAATATCATCGGTATAAAATATAGCAGCAATTAATTATCATTTAATTATAACATAATATTTTGGTTACGATATATTTTACCAGCAATATTGTGTTGATAAATACACCTATAAATTATAATTAAGCATAATTTAACACTTACAAGTTTACTGTTCACTGCTTCTATGACATCGTTTGAATCACGAGCAGAATATGGACATTTTATTTCCAATAAATAATGTTCACCAATAAGGCCATCTATAAAATAAGTTGAATATTACAAAAAATGTATCAGCAGCCACCCTATGTTGGGGGTTATTAACCAGATTTATATATTTATCATATTTTAGACTTAATTTTTATATGTATATTATTAACTTGCGATTCAATAATTTCTTATTTTTAAAATATAAATTATAATTCATATAACTAATATTTGGTAGTAAAATARTAATAATGTTCTGTTACCTGGGCTAGCAGCTAGAAATGGAAATTCTGGATCTATAATCAAACCATTCTCATAAACTTTTTCTTTCGACAATTGTTCAAATTTTTGACGAGCTTTAGTCTCCATTTCTCTACCGTACTATACTGATTTTGTTTGTAGAGTGTCAGAAGCATATAAAATATTATGAACTACATTTTGGCAGCTAGTGTTTGACCGCATTTTACAAATTTGACCAAATCTTGAAGCTGTTAGTCGTATTTTACATTCGTCGTACCACATTTCACTGTTGCTTTTGTCTCGAGTTTCAAATTTAATTTTTTTTACATCATCTCGACCTAATTTTTCTAAAAACTTACTTTTTTTGTTTTCCATTTCTTCTGATGAAAAAAATTCTATTAAAGGTTCAGCCAGTCCATAATGTTCGTCTTCTCCTTCCGTTTTAGATTTTTTAACTTTTCTTTTTTCCGGAAATAACTGTCTTCTTTTACTGGTATTAAGCCGTATTCTTTCACTGTTCTTCAAAAACTTTTTTCYAAATATTCCTGTAATAAAATAATTGTGTCGCTAACCTATTAAAGTTATTATTTTATTAAATATAAATATGCATTTTACCTGGACTGTATTTAGTAGATGTTTTATGAATTTGTCTTAAATATTGTTTGGAATTAAATGATACAACTGCAACTTTTACTCTCGTATTATAATTACCTCTACTACTAAAATTTAATTGTTTTCCGGCAACAATCATTTATCAAAAACTGCTGTTATTATTTTCCATACAAATGACGACCACGACGTTTGGTAATAATGAAGAAGGCTTGTTTGAATAAATTGACATCAACCAGTGATGCAGTACGAACTCATAGGTAATGGTAGAGCTTGCGGAAGTAGTTGGACAATAAATACATATATCGATTTAAAATTTTTAAATAACAGTCTTAGAAATATGAGGCAAATGATAAAATCAATTGAACTAATTGCGTTCAAAGAAATTTATATAACTTTGTATCAGTTAAAAAAACATGCGAATAAATTGGAAAACGAGATAGGTTTAATTGTACAAATGGGTAGACAGAACAAAAAGGTGAAGCGATCTATTGAGTTTGGGGGTACGGTATTAAAATGGATGTATGGAATAGCTGATGCTGACGATGTACGAAAATATGATAGTTCGATCAATAAATTATTAGAAAACGATCAGATAGATGTTATGCGTATTGTTCATGATCAGATATATATATTAAAAAGCACAATAATTAATTTTAACGATTCGGTTACATCATTTAATGAAAATAAGAAATTATTTGATGCAAATATGAAAGAAGGCGAGACAAAATTGAACGAAATGATTATTAAGATATCTAACGAAGACAGAAAAATTATTATTCTGAGTTCGATAAGTCATATAGAACACACTATATTTGAATTGGACATATTTATAAGTAGGTTACAAAGAGTAATTTCTAACGTTCAGAATAATATAGTAGATGCGTTTATAATAACACCTGACCAATTGCTATCGGAAATAAAAAATATAGAGACTATTCTCCCGGACGATTTGAAAATCCCTGTTAAATTTGATGAGGATAATATTCAAGAAAATTTTGTTGAAATAATACGGCTTACAGAATGGTTTTAGAGCAAAATACCTTTATTATAAGTTGTAGAGGAGAGTTATATCGGGTGACGTATATAAGACTCGATTTTTGATATTTCATTCTCAAAATCGATAAAATCGTTTTGCGTTTTCTGGTTTTTTTTTCACTTTTTTACTTGTGAATAATTGGTATAAAAAATTAAAATATCAAAAATCGAGTCTTATACGTCACCCGATATAACTATTCTCTACAACTTTTAATTAAGGTATTTAGGTCTAAAACAATTCTGTAAGCCGTATTATTCCAACAAAATTGGCATGTTTTTGTACGGTGGTTTCGCTGGTGTGGCGTCCTCTCGTACCTATGTAATAACGTACGAGTCGTATAAAATATAAATTGCACATTATTTTGAGTGACTTTTATTTCATTTGTGTGTTGTACAAAATTATATGAAATTTTTGTTCACGTATGTATTTATTGTAATTGTTTCATTAATTTATAAAATGAGTAATAAATGTAAAAGTTGGGTGTGGCTGTACGCTAAACGTCAAGGCAATAAAGCTTATTGTGATTTGTGTACGGAAGATGAAAATAATGAATTTTGTTGTATTGGTGGAAAAACAGGATCTTTGGGTAGACATTTGAAAAATATACAATATGGTATGAAACCACTCACCACTGTAACACGAAGATATGTACTATGTACTTAATAATTAATATACATATTAACATATAAACCACTTAAAGAATTTAAAATTGTGTAGGGTTTTAATTAGAAAAAATCTCCATTTTTCGTGACAATAACAATGTCGGGTAAAATTAATATTTAAACACGTATAAAAATAAATCTGAAGAACGATTTTTAAAATTTTTTCAGAACTAATAGATTGATATTCTAATACTAATAGAAATTAGTACAAATTATAATACAAATTTATTAATATGTATAAAATTATATTAAATTTTTAAAAGTTTCTACTGAAAATTTAAAATTTATTTCGAAAATAACCTTGAGAAAACATGGAATTTCTAACATTTTGGAAGTTCTACTTTTAGCTTAAAAATAGTTAAATTTGTTTGAAACTTTCGTCAAGTCTGTACATTAGTACGGTTAACGTTTTTTGAAAATTTCTTGTTCGTAATACCATTACTTTTGTATTTACGACTGATTCTAAAAACGATTTGTACGAAAACTTCGTATCTAAAATCGAATACGAATCTAAAATCGTTAAAAAAATTAAATAAATCATTGAGTGTACAATATTTAATAATAATCTTATATATTCGTAATCAGGAAAAGGGCCTAGTTTATTTACTGGCTCGGTGGTCCTTTGCATTATATTTATTAAAAAATTTATATTATTTGAACTTTCTGCACCAACCCTAACTAGGTGTGGTCCTAAATAGTTTAAATAATCTACTCTATTAATATTTCAAAACTTTATGTCAAATATTAAAAATGTGAGGTAAACTTTAACAAAACAAGGTGTGGAGAAATTAAAAATAGGTACTTTTTTTTTATTTTTCAATAATAAAGGGCTCTCTCTAGTCTCTGGTCGTGAGCTGGATAATGCCGATACCTTAACCAGTTCAACTATGACTTCAAGTTCTTCAGAAGTACAAAATTCGGAAATAGGTGCACTAATACCTAGAAAACGACGACGAACTTATAAGAATCAGGAAGACGATCGAATTTGCAACTCCGATAAAACAGAGCAGATACATCAAGCATTAGCAAAAATGATAGCCTTAAATTAAATGCCTCTATCTTTTTGTTCAAGTGAAGGATTTAAACAGTTTATGACAGTTGTCGAACCTAACTACAAAATTTGCAAGGAAGGAGCAATAAAATCAAGATTGAAAGCATTAAAATCATCAGTAAAAGAAATAATTAAAAAAAACTTGAGAGATTCTATAAGTATAGCTTGTACATCTGACTGTTGCGTCATCGATATCTCAACAAAGCTATATTACAGTGAGTGCTCATATAATTGATAATCAATGGTGCCCGAAGTCGTATWCACTTACTACACATGAAATGGAGGAATTTCATAGTGCCGTAAACCTTGCTCACCAATTAAAAAATACATTTGATAAATTGGAAATTGAAACAAAAATTATGGCTGTCGTTACAGATAACGCAAGCAATATAATAAATGCTGTTAATTCACTGACGAATGTATCCGAAACATATGATTTAACCTGCGCTGCTCATAGTATTCAACTTGCGGTCAATAATGGATTACAACAAGATGGCATTGATACACTTATTCAGTTAAGTAGTAAAATGGTAGGTCATTTTAAACATTCTAATTTGGCTAAACATGCTTTAAAAAAAATTCAAGAGCAGCTGGGATTAAACCAGTAGTCTAATACAAAGTTGTAAAACAAGATGGGATTCTGTTTATATGATGTTAGATCGTCTTTATACAAATAGATGCGCCGTAACAAACGTCTAAGCTGACCGCAGTATATCTAATGTTGTAATTGCAAAAAAGTTGGAAATTTCAGAATGTGACTGGACAAAAATGGAAACTGTAGTAGCTTTGTTAGAACCATTACAAGTTGTAACAACAGTTTTTTGTGKCGAAACACATTCACCGGTATCAATGGTTAGACCTCTCGTTTCAAAAGTGATTGAAAAACATTTGAAAATTAATACATATGATAGTGAAGTTGTTGTCAGTTTTAAACAGACAGTGGTATCACAACTAATAGAACGTTTTAAGCTTAATAATTTAACAAACATCATATCTTCAAGACAAGTAGCATCATTTTTAGACCCAAGATATAAAGATTTGGAACATGAGGAAATCGAAGTAAGAGAAAATATCCGTTGCAAAGTACAAAATTTACTGGTCGAAACGAATACTTCGGAAAATAGAGTGGGTAATGAAGTTCCTATCCAAAAAAAGAAGGGAGCACTTGAATTTTTATACGGCGATGAAGTTCATGAAGTCAATGATGTTTCGATGCAATTTCAATGTTACCTTGAAGAACCACAACTGAGGTACGATTTTGATCCATTTGAATGGCGGAAGTCACATGAAAAAAATATCCTCTGGTAGCAAAGGCAGCAAAGAAATTGTTGTCAATACCAGCCACATCGGTAAGCTTAGAAATATGTTTTTCAACTGCCGGGAATGTGGTTACTCCCAAAAGAAATATTTTGGCACCAGAAAATGTCAATATTTTAGTATTTTTATATCAAAATCGTCAACTTATGTTATGACACTTTCAATATATTGGGTAGGCAGGTATTTTTTTTGACAGTTATCTTGTGACTTTTTCTTTATAAATTTATAATTTACTCATAAAAAACCTCTGAAATTTATTCTCAATTATTGTTTTTATAGTTAAAAAAATCATCTTTGTTATTGTTTTGTAATTTACATTTAATGAAAATTTTCATATTTTGTTATAATTAAAATGAATATTGTTATTGTTTTGTCGTATTATACTCGTATGTTATAATAATATGTTTGTATTAAACTATTAAGTATAAAAAGTTAAATATAATATTATAATTATCATATTATATACGGTGTTCCTATAATCATATTATACAAAATGTCAAGATAATCCCATTTATGTTTTTAATTTTTTTTTTAAATATATGTATAACAATTTTCAGGTTCGTAAAAAAATGGTATATTTTTATAAATGTCTAACTTCAATATTTGTATGATAACATGGGGGGGGGATAATGTAGGCACGAACTTTTGGGCTCCCCCTTTTGAATCTTCTTTGGATCAGGATAGACGGACATTAAAAGCACGGGCTACGAGCACACGGATTCTATAATACACGGGTACATATAGTCTCTAAATACACGTGTACGAATGTATTTTAATTACACGGGCTTTAACACCGTTTTGTTAAATACACGTGAAATAGAGACCTCTAATTGTAACCTCTAAAGTTTAATAATATTGCAGTAATAATAATTTTTCAAGTAGGAAAAACTGCTATAAGTACGTATATATTACATAATTTTCCCCCGCCCAATATATGTGATTTTAACCGATCGTTGTTAGAACATTTATTTTTTCTCGCCCTCTGAAAATTACACAATCCACTCTACAAGCATTCCACAGCAATACCAATAAAATTATAGTATTAGTATGGTATATTACAATAATATATTTAGGAAATAGAATACAGCCCCATACAATCATCCAGAATACAGAAAAAACTCCCACATTTTATCCATTATATTATAA